TTTAGTGAGGGCAAGTGCTTAACATGATGCCGAAAATGGGACCCTGCTTTATGAAGGTTTCCTTCTCCTTTTAGGGAATTAAGTTGTTTTGGCGAGTTCCTGAGGGCTACAGTTTAAACGTTGCCTCTAAAAATGAACTTGCTCCATCACACCTTTACACTGAGTGGTTTTAATCTGAGAGTAGTTCCTCTGAAATCAGATTGACACTGAATTCCATGGGACTGCTCAAGTAGTAACACAGTACGCACTGTGAGTAGGAGTGGCTGAATCTGGCCCGTTGGTATTTACCCCTCAATTTTTGTGCTCAGAAGTCATTGACGGGTGCAAATCTGAGTAAAGATCCTGCCTCTCAGAGCACAAAGACAGCAATGGGTCTGACTTGGGAACGCTATGTAGTTCACTTCCGTGATGCCACTCAGCTGTGGACCTTAGCAAAGACAAGACCGAGCTTCACATATAGTGAACACACTCATCTCTCTTCTAAAGATCTGACTGACCTAGGGGTATCCCCATTTTAGGAATAAGGCATCATTGGAATAGATAAGAACTGTATAACACAGCTGATCTTTTAAGGGTGCCCGCTTTAATGGAGGTTCAAATACAGGGGTAGCTTTCTTGAAACAATCTATGTAACAGAGGAGTTTCACTTTTAAAAAAATCAGAATCAATGACCTTGTAATGCATATCGATTCGAATGTCTGGAGGAAAACACAGACAATAGGAGAAAAGAACAGCATTCACATTGGAAATGACAGATACCCATCATAAAATATCAACATCTGATTTGTAGACAAATATCAATGAACAAATTAAGATCTATTCTCTAGAGACGTGTATGCCGGGAAAGTGTATAAAGTGGTGTTTTCACATGAAAAAGTAGATTGGAGTAAAGGCTGTATATTTCAGTGTGATTTGAATGGATTGGCTGTGTGCATTGCGGTTAGTTATCTGTTAGAAGTGCAAGGGAGATTTTATGGCAAAGAGAGAGGTAGGGTACTGTAGCAAGATGTTTGGACAGTAAGGTGTGTGAGTGAAGGCTGGCTTATCTGCTGCTTTCTCTGATGTTAAGTGATGATGTCAAGGAGATTTACACTTGAACAACCTTAACTTTACACGGGATTTTGTTTGAGGAGTAGATTGGCCCGGACTGCATACTTTTGCCCTCCTCTTTTCACCTCAGGGGCTGGGATTTAAACCGAAATCCTGGAGATGCAGAAATAACTCTAGCAGCAAAGAAATATAAAAATCTATTTGTAGCCCTGTGATCCCCTTGCATGTCTTGCGTTACAAGTAGAGAAGACCATCCAAGTAATTTACTGTGCAGTCTCTCAAGAGCAAGCTGACCCCTGTAAATTGCTGAAAGCACACATCTTTTGAAAGACAGCTCAACTTTCTCTAGATTGGGGCATTTACTTTGTTATCCTACCTCCACCTGTGATTCTGCCAGAAGTTAGTAAGAGACTGAACGTTAGTCTTCAATATACTCAACACAGCCACTTACTGCGCTATGTATAACAACAACCTGAGCACGTCCCCAGTGACATCAGCTGAGAGGTGCATCAGCAGAGAATCCAGCGCCCCTTTGTGGGTGTCATTAACAGAACAGAGCAATGATGCTGCAAGGGCTAATTTAGAAACACACACACACACACACACACACACACTATGTTAAAAGAACATTATTAGGGTTGCAAGATCAAGCACTCAAAAGTTAGGAAATGTCAGAATTAAGGTTGCTTATGGAAAAAAATAGTATACGATCATGGAAATAGAGACCGTATCATAATGTATATGCACCAGGGGACTGAATTAAGGTTGCACAGCCAGGATTGGTTATTTTTGGGTCCTATAGAACCTCTCCATTCATAAATAAAAGATGGCGCAGAGGAAAGCCTCCCTTGAGACACTAGCTACAACAGGCATTCTTTAAAGTGACCATTCATTATTTAGGCCTGGCTGAAGCCCAGACTCCATGAGAACTTTCTACTCCACTGCAATAAAGATGCTGAGATTTTGCATGATGGCACCTTCATTTAATTCAATGAGGAAAATAGCAGAGCGTATGGTTGCTTGGATTAGATATTACAGCCCGTCTCTCCTCATCATTCATGTTGGCATAAGCATTCATAAACCACTGTTATGTTTTCTCTGTCAAGCTATCCCAGCCATGCATCTATCAGTTTCATCAGTGATATTAATCTATTTAGTCCTAATAAATCATCTGGATCTACCAGAATGTTCCTCCCATAGACTGGCCACTCATACACAGAGCGTGCTTTTCTACTGTGACTTGAGTGATGAAAATATGCATAATCTATACATCTTTCAAAACCCATTCTTCAGCATCCTTTTTTCACACCATGATTGATAGGAAGAGGCCAGGAGAACACCACTGTCTGGCTTTGTAAGTGTTGCAGTTAGCTGAGCAAAAGGAACAGCTCCGAAAGCACCAACCGTCCATCAGAGAAACCTTCCTGTTTTCTCACTCTTCCGTGCATTATTCTAGCCTTGCAGAAGGTTCACTGGAGATTAGCTGGGACTGAAGAGCTGGCTCGACAGTAAGAACAAAGCCATACAATAGTTGTCACCATGTAGGTTTTTTTTTATTAACATTCTGGTATCTTGCGCTCTTTCGTTTGCATGTTTTCTGTGAGGAGGGCCTAAGGGAAAAGGAGATGAACTCCATGTTTTCTGCACCAGCATCACCTGCTGGGCTTAATGGGACTGGCAAACTGGGTAGTGATTTCAGGATGTGTTATGCAGGAGACAGGTAGAAATTATACACAATCCATTTCTCAGAATGTGGGATTTTTAATGGGCTGCCGATATACTATTTGGTAATGGCTCCTCTTCCGGTAGGCCTGATTGACATAATCGGAAAAATTAAGGCCAGGGAAGGCAGGCATAATGGCAAGATTTACTTAATCATTTAAAAATAGCAAATGTACTCCAAGCATTGTGATGAAGATGAGATAAAACCTTCCCTAGGCGAATCTTTAAGCCTCATTGTCTGTGTTTATGTCTGGTACATCCTTTCACACCAGGCAATTCTGGAGTGTAAGGTATGTAGAAGTAACTTCAGGCACTTTGTGAAATCCAGTCTACCGATTCCTCACAATCAAAGTCTGAAGATGAATGAAAACTAGTTGAGGGCTCATTTTCCATGTAATATTACAGAGGAGGAATCTCAGGAAGAGATAAAATGCAGCTTTTGGTATTCCATTTGTGTAATGTAAAATGAGAGGTGGGTTTATACCAGAATCTTAAACACAACTCCCTTTAAAATTTAGGGGGGAGGTACTGAGTCAAACTTCCAGAACTATAACTGCCCCCAAGTTTGGTTCCAAGTTAGGTATCAAAAGGGGCTACCCCCCTCCTCCAGTCCTCATGGAGTCAAATTCTCATACGAATAGTTGAGCCCATGAGATTTTGGCCTGACCTGTCAGAAAACGTACACAAACAGATGATCTGAAGAGATTTCCACAGTTCGGCTAGTTTTTTATTACATCCTCTGCCATAAAATTTTGGAGCTGTTGAATCTGAATCTTAGCACTGATTCAGCAACAAACCAGAATCCTGGCCTACACCTTCCTCCATGGGATAGCAAAAGCTAGACCGGCCACAGTAACAGAACTTTCCCCTGTGAAGAAACTTTGCAAAGACACAGATTGAATTTGTAGTATTACGAACACATGTATGAATTAGCCGCCTTTTCTGAAAACTTCTCAGCTAAGCTCATCTTTCATATGTTGTATTGTCACTTTCTGCTCTGGCCCAAGTCTCTGATGTAAATATCTCCCAGCCTCATTTTGTGTTGTGTTTCTAATTCTGGATATATAACTCTACAATGTATTGGAATTTGAATATCTATCTTTATATCTAGAGACACATGGTCAGGTGTAAATTTTTACTCCAAAGGATGAAGGAATAGAATCGATTGGATAGAATAGATTAGATTGGGGAAGGCAGTGACACCTTCACACTGGGCACCCTTGGAGAAATGCCAAAGATTGACTGCATGAAGGTAGCTCCAGATGGTCCCATAGGTTCTGAGACATACACTAGCAGGACAGTCGGAGAACGTTGAACTGGCTACTTCCTGGTCTGTACCTGGTCTATGGATTAGTAGTAGTAGTATTTTGGTAATGGTTGCGGGCTTCAGTTAGGGATCAGGACCCTACTGTGCCTAGGTGCTTTACACATATAATAAGAAAGAGCTTCCAAAGTAAAGGGCACTTATCTCCCCCAGCATTAAATTTTCTATGGACATATATGAGATAATCTTGTTACTGCGTAATTGGAAGAATACAGTTTCACTCCAAAAGGTGAAGTGGCTGGGAGAGGCTGTGCAATGGATGGAGAATGAACTAGACTGGCAGAGAAAATGGACAGTTTTCTCTTGTATTTATAGTACATTCTAACTGTGAATTTTCTGGATACTTTTTATATCTCACCCTGGATTTCTTTCTTCTTCTTTGTTTTTCCCAATTAATTTCTGTTGCTGCCAGCAGGAGATGAACTGAAAAGGGTTTTCTATCCCGCTCTTATAAGAACACTTTTCATCTCCAATGTGGTTTGCAAAACCAGCTTGCGAAGTCACATAACACCATGATTATCCCTGTTTTACTTGTGGAGAAACTGAGGCAGGGAGGTTAATGACCTGTCTAAAGCCACAGGCCAGAGTCCATACTTCAATCAGGATTAGAATGCCAGAGATCCTGGCTATCAGGGTAGTGCTCCGTCCACTAGACCATGTCCCTTTTGCTCATTGAGTGGCTAGGAAACAATTTTTGAAGCTACCCCCACCCAGTAGAAATCAGCTGAGTTTTCATAGTCGAAGTGGAATCCTTTGTGCAGCCTAAGGAACAATGCACCATATTTAAATAGAAATATTCCCATTGTCTTTTTCTTTTAAGCATCAGATTAATGTTTTGCCATGTACCTGTCATTTTAATTATCTGCTCACATCTCAGCTGTTGTCTTAATGTCTTTCTATGCAGTGCCTGACGGGGATACCAACTTGCTGCTGCTGGAGATGAAGCTGGTGGAGAGAATAACAAGGAGGTGAAGGGATATTGCCACAACAATATCGTGGCAACGGCAGAGGAATGGGCCAACTCCCCTACACACCAGCTAGGCAGATTGATGGAGAAGCAGCTAAGAAAATGGATGAAAACTGCTATGCTCAGGGGAAAATAAATTATGAGAGTGTTGAGCAGCCAATGGTTTTGACTTTATGTATGTTTGATTCGATTTCCCGCACACACACATTTTAAACCAGTGGACTATGGGGAGTGAAAAGGAATTGGCCATCTTCCCCACTTTTAATTCATGGAACAATATGAAACGTGTGCAATGACTTTTGAAAGCCAGTGAAATGTGCCAGGTTTTCATTTCACAAACGTCTGCCAGTCTCATGTAGTCATGAGTGTTTAGACTGCTCAGCAGCATGGCACCTGGGCATCTTCGTGGTATCAGAAGGCGAGTTTTGGAAAGGTTGGCTGACGTTCGTGAATCTTCTGAGTGAACGTGGGAGAGTTTCCAGAGGAAATTTGGCCCCTTTTTCATGGACAGAACACACCATGTAAAATTTCTTGTAAGGATTTGATGCAAAACTAGACGAAATTCAGCCAGTCAGACTGTCTGTGTAGACATCCCCAGGGTCTCACTTTGAGGGTTTGGGGTCATTCAAACTTCATGGGCCAGCTTTTCAGCTGCATCCTGTATGGACTGGGCTCCACTGGAGAGTGGGTGCTCCTCCCACTCCTGGGGCCAATCTATGCTGACCTTGTCCCTGGCATACTTTAGAGCAGCCTCGGGACTGCTTTAAACTACACTAGCTATGGCCCCAAGAGGACCTCTGGACCTCAGCAGTGCTCAGGTTATGCCTCCTTTCCCCAAGCCCATGCCCATTATCCTGGTGGTTGGAATGGGGAGTGGTATAGAAATGGACAAGATGACCACTGATGATCCAAGGTGGCGGGGGGGGAGGGGAAGCTATAAGAAATAAGACGGGAATGAGTAATCTTGTACCCTCCATGGCCTACTAACCAGGTGATGGAGGTAGACCTGTCACACCAGCTTGGGACCAGGTTCTGTCACTCTAGATAAAGAGGATCTGGGTACTAAGTCCCCTTCCACCTTCTCATTCTGCTCTCACTTGTGCTGGCTGGACACAAGTACAGCTCTGCGGACACCAACAGGGTTACTCTTGATTCACACCGATTGGCTCAGAATCAGGCCCTGGAAGTAAATATGTTTCCCCTCTCACCCAGCGTGCAAAGTTTGCAGGGCCTTTTTGGATCTCGGCAGGAAAAGCCTGGCATAAATGTTAGCCCTTATTTGTGTAGCCAGCAGTTTGGGTCTGTGTTACTAGCCTGCGATATCCTCAGAGGGGCTACAGCTGACGCAGACTCAGAAGGGGATTGATGAATAAGCAGAAGATACTAATAAAAAACGATCTCCATGGGCAATTTGTGTCCCTACAATGCCAGCTCATAAGCTGGAGATTAACGGGGAAGGAGACAGAGCTGCTGCTGGGGCTGGAATGAGACTCATATTGCAGAGAGAGGATTAGGTGCCACCGGTAGCTGTGAGGGGAGAGAGAAGGAGATGCATTGCCCACTAGTTGCCATCTCAGCTCCTGTCCTTTGCCTGTCACTCCTGTTGCTCCCACTACAGCAGGAACCAATATATCTGCACTTGCTCATTCAGAGTGGGGGAGAGGATATCAAAGCTGGGGGTGTCAGAAGGAAAAGCCCCTGCCAGAAACTCCCTCTCTTTCATATGCAGGCTGCTTCTGCTCAAGTGAATCTGCTGAACCCCCCTCTGGCAGTGTCCCCTGGGAAGAGCGGTGTGGGACAAGGCCGATGCTGTTAGAAGAGTAGGATGCGCTTTTGACTCCGTCACCATGGAAGCATCTTTGCCCTGCTCCTCCTCCTGTTGCTCTGACGGAAGGATCAACCCCTGCCCCTCCTGCTGGTGCAGAGATTGCATCACCTGCTGCAGCCACCTCTGCCGTTTCTGTCTTTGTTCTCTCCCCTGCTGGTGTTGTGATCTGAGGATCTGACTTTGTCTCTCTGCTACCGTATGATTGCAAGGATCTATCCCCCGCCCCTCCTGCTGCCGCCGTGTGATTGCAGCACCCCTGCCTGTCCCTCTGTTAATCTGCCGGGGGACATCTCTGTGCATGTATCTAATCAATAAAGATTCATTCCCTTGCTGCATGGTCTCCCTCAAATAAACGACTCAGAAGCTGACCGGGAACCTTTCCGAGCCTCTGCGTTGTTCTGCAGCGCCACCCGTTCGCTGCCATTAAAGGGCTAATGTGCTACGAAGCCTGCTTCCTCAGTGCGTCTCATCTCCTTCGAAATTTCCTCCTTTATCATACCCAGCCTCTTCTCACTTGCAGCTGCTGTTCTCGTCCATCCCCATCAAGCACCAGGCAGTGTCTCCAGGATTATCTCCGTGCCAGGAACATGACCAGGGCTAAGAGCCAGATTTTCAAAGGTGTTTGGGGCCAGGTCCGCGAAGGTCTTTAGGCACCTAACTTCCACTGATTGAAATGCCTAAAGACCTTTGTGGATCTGGGCCTAAGTGCCTAAAGATGCAGCTGAGACCTAATCGAATTTTCAAAAATGCCGAGGTGCCTAACTCCCTTTGGTTTCACTGGGAGATAGGTGCCTGTCTGCAGCGTTAGGTGCCTAAATACCTAAAAAAAAAAAGGCTCTAATTGACTTACCGTGAAATAAGTAGGTTTCTTTTAAAAGGGCCGACTTATTCCACGGTTGAGCGGCTGGAGCAGTGACTTTCATGCCCTGCCTCATTTTCCTGGGCAGCTGTTTTGGCCTGTTGTTCGTTTACAGCTGATCCCAGCCCTTGGGCCAAATTCCACTCCTCCTGGGTGGCTCAGCATAAATCCCACGGAAGTCAGTGGAGTGACAATGGAGTCCCGGAGAGCAGGCCTGGCCCCCATCCCTCTCACTGGCCGTTGCAGCAAGATCTGGGGCGCAAAGGATTTGATTGATTGATTTATTTGCACAAGGTGTTTGCAAAGCTCCATCTCCAAGGAATTGGAGCCAGACCCTGACTCGGTGCCAGCTGACTTCCTGCCACACCACTTTGAGGATCTGGCCCCCGTTACACACACATTTCATGACTGGAGCGTGAGATGCTGATAACTCTGCTTTAAAGCCATGCAGCGTGTGGAAGCGTCTCCTGGACAGCTGGGCTGTTGATTGCAACGATTCCCTCTTGTTGGTATTTGAGCCTCTCCCGGGCAGAAACTAATAGCACATAGATCCTTAAATTGACGGTCACAGGACTGGAAGAGCAGGCTAAATCAATGCACTCCACAGTAGCAGCAGAGGGAGGTGATCCTGATTACTGCTCTGACCCTGGATGTCCTCGACAGCTGGGGTATTCATTCAGTCACTCTTCTGCACATGGCTGTGGGGTGATGGAACAGAGGGGACATTCTGTGGAAAGAGGGTGTCTGTGGCTCCCTCCCTCTGTTCTCTGGTCACACCCTGATTCCCTACCAGGTCTCTCTGCTGTGTGGAGCAGGGAATACTCGGTGCAGTCACCCTCGGTGGAAATGCCATGGTTTCTTCAACAGCCTTCTGTGCTGCACTGTGCCGGGGAACGTAGGTTCTTATATGGCTGCCCTGAGGGCAGCTACCCAGGCGAGTCTTTCAGCTTTGGTAGGAGACTATATGCCAAAGTACTGCCAGAAGAACTATGTATCCGTGCAGGCATTGTGGGTGGGTACAAGGCTTGGAAAATCTGCAGCCCACCTGGACCTTCACCCATTTTTAGGACCAAATGTAATCAACCCTTCTGCAATGTTCTGACATGCCCCCGTGAACGTGATGCCTACCACCCTAGGAAGTGTGTCTTTGTCCTTCTGCACCCAGTCGGAGAAGCATCGATATGTTGGCTCAAGCGGAGACTGGAAGTCTCAGAAACAGGAATGCCTGTTCCCGAGAGATTTCTTGCTCAATTTTGCACACACGAGGGGTGTGGCTAGTTCATATAAGCTTCAGAGAACGATCAGACTTCTCTGAATCAGATTGGAACTCTGAAGCCCTTAAAGTTCACCCCTCACTAAAAAGGCATCGTACTGGGCGCTCTCATAAATGGAGCTGGCCCTTTAAGAGGGCTAGGGCTGAGTCTCACCTGTGCCAGGGGTAACTCGCCTCCACAGAATGAGTCCAGAGAGTGTGATGAGACCATGTGACTCAGAACCAGGCCTGTTGGAAGTTATAAAAGGCAGGATGAGCTCAGGGTGGGTAACTCTCCGTGGAAAGGAATGCTTGTTTGGGTGAGCTTATATAGAGAGAGACTTAGCTTCCAGGTGAAAGGCCTGGAACAATGCAAGCTTACAGCAAGCAGGAGCTAGCTAGGAGCGCTATAAGAACAGGCCCAAACCCTACCTCAAGGGTGTGAACCATTAGGGAATCACAGAATACCAGGGTTGGAAGGGACCTCAGGAGGTCATCTAGTCGAACCTGCTGCTCAAAATAGGACCAATCCCCAGACAGATTTTTGCCCGAGATCCCTAAATGGCCCCCTTGAGGATTGAACTCACAGCTCTGGGTTTAGCAGGAATAGCTCAGTGGTTTGAGCATTGGTCTGCTAAACCCAGTGTTGTAAGTTCAATTCTTGAGAGGGCCACTTAGGGATGGGGCAAAATCAGTACTTGGTCCTGCTAGTGAAGGCAGGGGGCTGGACTTGACTCAATGACCTTTCAGGGTCCCTTCCAGTTCTATGAGATAGGGAAGCTGTATGGGAGTTCTGAACTTTATGTTAATCAGCCACATTCCTAAAGTGGGAGAAACACCTGCAATATAGAACAGTCTTACTAGGGAGAAAGGGGAAACTGAGGCAGAAGCAGAGCCCAAACTGAGTAAGCTGTGGTCTGGGCTCTGTCACACACACAACAGATTTCACTTTCTGGGCATCCTGTTAAATTCACACTGTTCCTCCCCACATGAGGAAAAGGCTAAATGTAGCAATATCAGGATTTATACGTTGTTTATTTCAGGAAGACAGTAGGCCATTTAAGGGAATAATAGGATGCAATGACCCGGCGAGAGACATGCTCTGAAAAGTATGCTTCTGTTTATACAGACTCCTTGTTGTTTCTGTTTATACTGCCACTCCTGCAGTGAGAGCGCTCGGTACTTAATTCTCCCTTTTGATTGTTGTTCACTGCGTCGCCCCAGCACTGCCGCAGTCTGCTCCGATAGATCTTTTCACTCAAGGAGTAAATCTATCCCCTTGTGTTACTAACTAGTACTGCAGCTTTCAAGAAATGCAGCTTCTCTCAAATGTGGAGTGAGGAAGAGAGACTGGTTCTCAGGTCATCCCTTACTGGGAACTATCAGTTTTAATAAAAGAAAAATTGAAAACACTGTACTCTCATTTAAAATTATTCAGCTCTTTGAAGAAATGATTTTGGATTTTGGTGTTGTGTGGCAGGCTAGGGAAATGAATTGAAAAGGAGTGGGACTGGAAAGACAGCCATTTCCCATTTGAGGTTAGGATTGTTAATCTAGGTGATGTTGTGAGTAAAGGGCTTGGTGTATTATAGCTAATATAATTAAAAATATGACCCTGTTTTCAAAGATGTGTGTAACTCAGATATAAAATCTGGCTAGGCAGGTTAAAAGCAAGTTTGTACATACACACTGGCTGCCTTCTGCTCCATATGTAAATCTATGTATGCACACACAGCCACACAATGAATGTGTGCATCTGTACAACCATCAGCATACATTACATTTAGCTAGATTTGGAAGCATTTTGTTGTCTGGTTAAAAAGTGGCAGAGGTGTATTGGAGTTGATTTATGCCAGCAAAGAATTTGATGCTAAATTCCACTTAACAATATAGGGAACTAGATATTTTTATATTTATATTTATAAAGAATAGATTACATGTCAACATTTAAAAATATTGACTGCAGGAATATTAAATGTATTTCACATAATTTCCCCAATGATTTATGCACTTCATGGTGAGCATCTTAACTGTGATTGCAACACATAAGAAGATAGTTACAGACAGCGTACCCATTATATAAATATTCTGTATCCAGTCAGGGTTTCAAAGTTGTATTATATGCAGTTTTCCCTTTCCTAATGATAGATTTTCTAGGGAAACTTGAATTGTTTCAAAACAGGTGTTCAAATCTCTTGAATAAATAAAAAGCAAATGGATTACATTTTTCCACACACGGCTGCATATTTCCATGAAGGAAACCATAGGAAACAAATTTGGATTTTCTTCGTAATTTAAAAGTTCCCTCTCCCCCCTTTCCTTCCATAAACATAAAGAATCAAATCCAAGAAAATAGTTGTAGATTAAAAAGTTACATTTAAATTGGTCAAAATTGTGAAACAAATTGACCAAAAGCAGACTGTCAAACATCTGTAGCTACTGATCCATATCTCAAAATGACTGAAAAAGATTTGGGGGTCATGGTGGATGATTAGCTGAACATGTGCAATACTGTGGCCAAAAGCACTAAAGCAATCCCTGGATGCATAAACAGGGGAATATCAAGCAGAAGTAGAGAGATGTTTTTACCTTTGTATTTGGCTCTGGTGCAACCACTACTGGAATCCAGTGTGCAGTTCTGGTGTCCACAGTTCAGGAAGGATATTACTAGATTAGAGAGGGTTCAGAGAAGAGCCGGGAGAATGATTCCACGATTAGAAAACCTACCTTACAGTGCTAGACTTAAGGAGCTCACTCTATTTAGCTTAACAGAGAGAAAGTTAAGGGGTGACTTAAGTCTGTAAGTATCTATATGGGGGACAAATATTTGATAAAGGGCTTGTCAGTCTAGCAGACAAAGGTATAACAAGCTGGAAGCTGAAGCTAGACAAATTCAGACTGGAAAGAAGGGTGTAAATTTTTAAGTGAGGGTAATTAGCCACTGGAATAATTTACCAAGGGTTGTGGTGGATTCTCCATCACAGGCAATTTTTAAATCAAGACTGGATTTGTTTTTAAAGATCTGCTTTAGTTCAAATGGGAAGTAATTCAGGGACGTCCTGTGGTCTGTGTCGTACAAGAGGTCAGAGCAGCTGGTCACAATGGTCCCTTTTAGCCTTGGAATCTAGGAATCTCTGGTCACATAACTTTAGCCACCAACCATACAGCTAGAGAGTTGATGTTCACCCACGATGTCTGGAGGAACTGAACCTAGCTAGAGTGAAGTAGAAAGTCCTAAATGGTTTTGTCTCATGATGACGAGCAGTTTTCTGTTATAGCAAACCTCTGCTACTGGAGAAGTTGTTTACTAAATACAATGGGGATACCTTGCAGGGCTGTAATGAAGACAAAATCAATTAATAACTATGAGATGTTCCATTACTAGGGTGATGGAGTCTGTATTGGTACCTGTGCAGATTGGGATGCAAAAACTCTTGCTTCAGTTCCCTCCTTTGCCACTGTCTTCCTGTGTGAACATGGGTAAGGCCCTTAATGACTCTTGGCCTCAATTCCCCATCTTCAGAATGGAGCTAGAACGTCTGGTCTTTCACCCTTTGTCTTGTCTGTTTAGACTGCAGGGCGAGGACTGCCTCTTACTAAGTGTT